GTGATGACTCAAATGAGGGATTTCAATCGGCAAGAAGTTGTTTCAGATTGAAAACGAAAGCTTGGTTTCGTATTGATCGGATAAGGCCTGAGAATTTTATGATTTCAATTTTCTTCTTTTTATTGATTCTAAAATCCCCTTGTGAAACCTTCTCTATGCTGCCATAGTATGAACTCCATGAGCGACTTACGCAGTCTAGAAATAGCTGAAGGGTTAAAAAAAGGTTATGCGGAACGCTTTCTGTCAGATTTTGTCTGAAGATTTTCCTTTCCAAAAAAAATCATTGAAAAAAGCTCGATGTGTCTCGAAAAAAACCAAACTGAAGCAAAATTGAGAAGAGCGGAAAAAATAATTTTTAATCAATCCTACTTGCAGCTTTGAACCTAGTTTTTTTCTTTTTATACCATTATTTTCAAAATCAAATAGAAATTTATTCTTTCAGAACTTTTCAGTTTCCTCAGAGGTTCCCAATTTTTAACCGCAACTCTCTCAAGTGATTCCTACGGGTCTAAATGAGAGTACTCAGGCGGTATTAGTGCTGATTTAAATTATCCAGACAAAACGAACAAAACGTGAAAACTAAAACGCTTTTTTTCTCAAAAAATGAGAAAGAAAAAACAGAATTTATGGTGGAATTTCTTTTGCGAGTTTTTTGGTAAACCGATCGTTTTTGGCTTTTTTACTCAATCAAAAAATACGCCAAAACTACCGGATCAATTGTTGACAAAATTACATCAAACTGGGCCTCATATGAAACCCAACCACATTTACGCGGGTAATAATCTCCAACAATTTGCTCGAAACGTTTTCAAATTTTCAAATGAAAAATTGGTGTTATTTATAGCAAAAATGACCATTTTTGATTATTCAACAAAAATAAATTTTTCAATGCAAAATTTTGCTGTGTTCACTTTGATATAATTTTGTCAGCAATTGATCAGCAAAATTTTTGCGCAATTTTTGCTTGGCTAAAAAATCAAACAAGTATCGATTTTGGGCTAATTTGTCACGATAAAAAAATTATTAAGTAAGATATATCAGAATACTCTTTCAACAAATTTCATAGCCAGAGTTTGATGAAATTCGTTTTCAATGTGCAGAATTGCATATTTAACGCGGTACGTAGAAATTCTGCAGAAATCGTATTATTTCAATGAGATTTAGGCAGAAAGACTGGTCAAAATGATGATTCTAAGCCATTTTTAGGGGATGGTACTTAATTATGGAACTTACTTTTAAAAGTATTTACATAAATTTTGTATTGATCTGCACAATTGGTGAAAAGTTTTCCCATCAAAAAGAGAGAGGAACTCCAATATCAGAAGTTTTATTTCCAAAATGTTTGTAGTCAAAATTGACTTTCCTTTTGAAAACATTTGGAACAAAAAAATCAGCTTTTTGACCAACTACGAAGTTTTAATCAGAAAAAAACTACGCAAAAAGGCGTTCAATGAAAAACCGTGGGCATGACACAACTTATGACATATCAAGGGATCAAATTATGACGTTTCCCACCCATGGATTTTTCTACTTAGACTTCAATAAAGAGTTTGCCAAAAAATTGGAACGTGAAAACTTCAAAATTACAACAGTCGTTTTACATCTTCATCAATTGGAATTTTTTGATGCGAATTTTTCGATGAAAATGAGTTCAAAGCATGCATGAACAAATCGAAAGCCGTACAACTTCAACGCAATTTTTATGTCGGGTTAACCATATCAAAAGATTGATTGCTGATTTTGCGGAAAAATGCGGACAATTCGGAAACTCCCCCAGAAAGGAAACTCATACTGGAAAGTCTGGATAAACTCATACTGGAAAATCTGGACAAATTCTAAATTGATTAGTAAGTATCTTCATTATTAAATTTTTTCAGCAATCAACTCAATTTGAAAAAAAAAACTGATCAATAGAAAAATTTTTGCCGAAAACTGTTCATGAACAGGGACGAAAAAAACTTGGTGGAACAAAAATCAAAGATGTACTTCGAAGAGAATTAAACACTTCGAGAATTAGTTACTTGGATAAGAAAACTGCATCAATTGAGCGTGAAAAATTTTAAAGACTTTCCTGAAACAAAAACAAGACAAATCATCAAGACCTATATAAGAATACTCACTATGTTCATTACTCTTAAAAAGTCTTCATTGCAATTTAATAATGATTGCCAATTGCAAGCGTAAAAAAGAACCTGAAACTAGGAGTAGTGAATACTGGCCTCCGTAGCTAGTCATTTATCTGAATCACGTGCCGAGGGCGCTTTGCCTTCCATTACCTTGACGCATGCATACTTAAATCGAAGACATCAGGCGGCAGCCACGAATGATATCATGTTGAAAAATTAACGTTTATACTTTGCACTATAAAACATGAAAAATTATAGAAAACTACGCTTTCAAGCTCGCTTGTGGAAAAATGCAAATTTGATCAATAAGTTTTGAAAACTAAGAAATTGCGCCGAATCTAGGATTTGACACTGGAACCAGACTCGGTTGACAAACATGCTTCACTTATGTAAGAGTCCTGACAACGTTTATGGATAACTTTTAAAAATATATATCACTAAGTGGCAGATTACGATGAAAAAAGACTCGTTTAGTAATAACAGCTCCTTCTTGAGCTGGTATTAAAGCCATTTACAAAATATACACATTTTGCAAATTTTTAGAGTCTTCCAAACAATACAAAAAACCAGGCAACCAAATTTTTTCATAATACGAATTTATAATTTCAATTTTTTGGAACTAGAAAAAACAGCCAATAGACCGCTGAAAATAAATCAATGATCGCACTTTTTTGATAAAATTAACTCAATTTGCAAAAACTGTATCAATAGACAAAGTTTTGCATTGAAAAATCTGAAAATCAAAATCCACATTTGACATAAAAAGTTGGCCTCGTTTTTTTGTGACCTTCACAGTGACTGTTTCATAGAAGAGTTTGCCTTCTTTTTAGCAAAGAAAAGGAACTCGACTCAAAAAGTAATCCAAAGTCAAACCACGAAAAGGTAAAGTTGAGAGAAAACAATTCTACAGAGGCCAAGCCGAGCTTCGCCTTACTCGCGAGAACACGACCAAAAAACAGCTCTATCAAGTGAAATACGAAAAAGTAGAAAAACGCCTCGAATTAGCAAAAACTCGGCTACAGGGCGGATTCGAATCTGCGACTTAGAAAATTTGAGTCTCACTCACTAACCACTCAGCCACGGATGCTTAAAATCCCGAAAAACTAGCCACCAATAACGCAGCTACATATGCTAAGAAAATGCCAATTCGATGCAGCAAAAGTAGCATCAAACACAAAAAGACCCAATTTTGCATGTAATAAAGTGGATAGCATACAGCTAAATTATGTATAAACACAGGCGAAGCTGTGCTTCGCAAACACTTAGGAGAACACGACCAAAAAACAGCTCTATCATGTGAAATACGAAAAAGTAGAAAAACGCCTCGAATTAGCAAAAACTCGGCTACAGGGCGGATTCGAATCTGCGACTTAGAAAATTTGAGTCTCACGCACCAACAACTCAGCTACGGTTGCTTAAATTCCCCAAAAACTAGCCACCAATAATACAGCTACATATGCTAATAAATTGCATTGATTATTAGCATTTGCTGCGTAAAAGCTTCATTTGATGCAGCAAAAGTAACATCAAATACAAAAAGATACAACTTTGCATTTAAAAATCGCAAATCATAAAGCCACATTACGTATAAACTATGCATTTTAAAAAATTGCGAGATATATTGAGTTAGAAAAATTCTGAAATCGACATTATTATCGTTATGTTGTTTGAAACAAATAGCTTCCTTCGGTTCACTTGATGAATTAAAAATCATCACTTGTGTAAACTTATTCGAATGTCTAAGCACATGTTATCAATAAGCTGTAAAGGTGCAACTTACTATCAAAGGTGTAACAAAATATCTTATTGCCAATTATTCGATGCAGCCAATTCGACGCAGCAAATACTGTTGCCTTAAGTCGCAACAATAATTGCGACTTAGTCGCAACTTATTTGCGACTTAGGTTGGAAAAAAAAGAAAGTTCGTACTATAGCACATTGCTTCGTAAGTGTAATTATTCATTTTGCGAGATACATTCAGATAAAAAAATTTTTGAAATCGACTTTTTTATCATTGTTCTGCTGCTTGAAGCAAATAACTTTTTTTGGTTCATTTGATGAATTAAAATGGCACAGCTGTGTCAACTTTTTACTAATCAAATGTCAAAGCACAAATGATATTATACTGCTACCACGTCCTACCTATTCCAAAGTGCCGCAAAAAAGTAGCACTTCATTTGCGAATTAGGTTGGGAAAAAAAGTTCGTACTAATACACTTTGCTGAAGCGTGAAAAAGGAAAATGAGCGTGAACTTTTAAAATTCTTTTTCGTGAAAAACATAGCCAAAAGAAAAGAAAGTTTGAAAATTGTCAATGAACTCAGGTAAAAAAATAAGACGTTGAAAAAAAATACATCACGTTGAAAGAAAATATATCACTCCTGGAATTTCAAGATTTTTCGAAATTCAAGACACGTTTTTTATTACACTTACCCATTCGAAGAAAAAAATAGATACCCTTCGATCCCTTTTGAATTTCCAGGACCATTTATAATTGACACTTTTTGGATTAAATTAACCCAATTTGAGTTAACTGGAACAATAGGTAAATGTTTTATTTCGCTGGAAAATCTGAACATTAAATTCCACTTTCGTGACCTTTACACTTTTGCTGTTCGATAGTGGAGTTTGCCAATCTTTTAAAAAGGAAATAAAATGAACTTAAAAATAAATCATAAGAGTCAAACCGCGAAAGATAAAACTCGAGCCTTCATAAACTTACATATCAAATACGTTGATCGACTCTTATAAATAAAAAACTATTTTTGATACGTCAAGCTCACACAAGCTGCAAGTTTCAAACCTCAAATAATCACAGAAAACAACTTAAATAGCTGGACTTCTATCGCTAACTCAAAACTTTGGACAAAATTCGTTGCAAAACATAGCTCAAATAAATGAATTTTTGAAACTAAATTTTTTAAGCATGCATATTTAGCTTTTTGAAATCGAAGAGATCAATAAGTTTTGTACACCAATAAATATGAAAAATTTTTTTTTTAACAGATACTACATCATATGCAAAGACAGCTAACAACAGAGGGAAATGACAACCTTAAGTATTGGAAGAATGTTTTCAACAGAATTTACGGCGTTTAAGCTCCAATATATAATTTTAAGAGGATTTTAGTTTGTTTTGACAAAATAATTGCACCCTCTATCTCGACATGTATCGACCGAACTCGGCAGATGTCATATAGGGGTCGGGCTTGGTTCTTGCAGGAGAGGGTGACCTCGGTCTGGCATTGAATGCAGCCTCTGCTTGCGGCCCATACTTTTCATGTCCGTAGAATCCCCCAGCGCCATTTGCTGACTCATAGTATCCCGCATTGCTACCTGCTCCCCCTCTGCTAGCTGTAAGAGAAACCATTGGCAGTACAGAACATTTGTTAACTTACATATCAAATACAGATTTGAACTGCATATACATACATAAAAGCGATTCGATTAATCAAATAAACTTAACCTAATAACTTAAACTAATTTCATTTCGCTCTTGTTGAATTCACATCTAATTGAGTGATCCTTTCGAAAGTAATCAATCTAGCCTTAGATATTGCACAGCAAAAATTTGAACATAGCCAATCGAAGATTGGAAAAGACTAATAAACGCAAGTAAACAAAAGAAAAAAATACTTTGTAGAAAAAATCTCAACTTTCGAATTTCAAAGAAAAAAGATGCCCTTCAAGCTCTTTGAATTTCTAGAACAATTTATTATTGGCGCTTTTTTGATGAAATTAACCCAAATTGAGAAAACTGGATCAACAGGTAAAGTTTTCATTCCTCTGGAAATTTAAAAATTAAGTTCCACTTTCGAAACGAAGTCGATCACCTTTTTCGTAACCTTAACACTTTTGCCGTTCGTTAATTGAGTTTGCCTTCCTTTTAACAAAGGAAATGAACTGAACTTAAAAAGAAATCAAAAGTCACACCGCGAAAAAGTAAATTTGAGCCTGAACTCTTTAAAATAATTCGGTAACTGAAGTCAAGTCGTATTGAAACTTAGCTTCACTAAGAGCTTCATAACAATTGAATCATTACAGTGCCATCTATAGTACCTTGGTGTGGTGCGAACTGAGAAGCCAGTTGGTTGGAAACTGCCTCCGCCATCATTTTAGCCATAGTGCTCATCATGGCCTCTCCCCCTTTGAAGCCACCACCTCCTCCTCCGCTGTTTCCAATGTTGCCCAGTCCGCCCGAAGAGGGGGCAACTGGCGAAGAGTACATGCTGTCCTGGGGCCCTTCTGAAAACACAGATAATTTGTTCGTGTAATATCCACGCAGGCTATGTAGATCCGACCTTATTGTGGGAATAAAATTCTACAAAAACTGGACCCATGGTTTATATTTGAGTTCCAATATGCATTTTTTATTTCGCACCAATATTATCTGTCTTCGTTTGTTAAAATAGTCCACTGCATTTACAATTAACTTTGACTCAATCTTGTACCCTCAGATCTAGCGCAGGTTTATAAATGCATGGTTCTGAAGTTCAACATTGAAATTTTTGCTGACCGAATGAATTTCGTGAGTTGTAATGTGGCGCCCCATTCTGTGCCGAGTACGGGCCCAAATCAGTTCGTCTCGAGTCATATCCATAAGGGGAGTCCCCACTCATAGCAGACGGATAAGGAGGCAGATTCTGATTCTGAACGGCCACACCATTTTGCTGCGGGTTGCCTTTGCTTCGACGTTCAGCTGGACGGATTATAATATGTTTTCCCTAAAACCACAGCATCAAAACAATCAAACAAAAGCAAATAGGATAGCAAAACCGCAAGATAAAATTTGGCGGAAAATCTTGTGATGGATAAAAGTTATCACATTGCCTTTAATATGAAATTTCCAATTAAAACTCGCAAATTTCTATTTTTGCTGTTTAATTCAAAAAAACTGCCTCAATTTTACATCAACTTGCCGAGTACCTTGCGAACGAAGAGTTTCCGAAAATTTGAACCAGTTCATATGCAAGAAACTGACCTTAATCCAGTGATCGTTCTCTTTGAGAACAGCCTTGGCAATCTCCCAATCTTCGAACTCGACAAACGCGTAGTTCTTCTTGCCCTGCTCATAGAACATGGACAAAATATCCCCAAACTGGCTGAAGTATTCTTCCAAGTCACTTCTGGTGCATGACTCATCCAGTTGACCCACAAACAGACGAGAAGAGGTCAAGGGTCCCACTGGGTCCTGAAAGGTCATGGAATTACACGGAGAAAACTTGAAGAGGCAAGACGTTCGTTTAAGAGATCAGTTTTACATGTTACAAGGAAGCGTCATTTGTTTTAAACATGTTTCCACGACTGATGATCAAATCAAGTACATTTAACAAACAATGTCAACAAAAATTACATCCTCTCTCTCGTAGAGCTTCATAGGTACAACGAATAACACCTTCGCCCATAAATTCAACTATTTTCACCACCGCTCGTGGAGTTTAGAGACAAAAAATAAGCAAGCGAACCAGCCTAAAAAATCTTCACAGCCATCCAATTTAACTTCATTTTTTAAAATAAATTAACAGTGTCAATAAGTAAGGCACACTATTGAGAATTTCGAGTCAGGTGGGGAGATGATATTCGTTTTTAATCGCCAACCATAGACATTATCAAAATCTGATATAATTTATTTCAGAAAATTTGAATCCCAACATAGAGAACGCTCCACGTCAAAATAAAAAACGAATCAGACCTCACCAAAAACAGATTTACGGTACATGGCACAAAAACTCATAATTTTCAACCAGCTGCTGAAATTAGCAATGATTACTTTCAACAGTGCTGTTCCCGCCACTAGTTACGAGGCAAAAACGTTCAAGACTGAACTGGAAAATTGATTTTTTTTACAGTGAAAGTAGCAATTCAGTTTTGACAATTTTGAAAATGAACTTGATCATGGTTGTTACCAGTAGTCGGTTCTTTTTTACGACCACGACCCCCCATACAACTATGAGTATAGAACATAGCCAACAGACCGTTGGAAAAAAGTCAATGACCGCTATGAAACAGAAAAAAATCTTGTTTTTATGAAACTTTCAAAGTTCCAAATAAAAAATATATGGCCTTATATCTCTTTGAATTTCGAGAACAGTTTATGATTTACACTTTTTAAAAATAAAATTAACTCAATTTGAGAAAACTGGATCAATAGGTAACGCTTTCATTCCGCCGGGAAAAACGAATTCGAAATCCACTTTCGAATTTAGGAAACGAACTGAACAAAGAGAAATCAAAAGTCAAACAGCGAATCAAATTTTAAGACTTTTCCTATAAAAATACAAAAAATCATCACCGCCTATCATCGTCTTGTCTTCACTACGTCCATCGCCTCATCTACTTAAAAAATGAAAATTCTAACTTGTTGAGTGGCCGATTTCGGTTTTTTAACTTCCACCCTCCTTCCTTCGATAGTCAGTGTTTGACCTTGCACTTTTTTCTGATCCTCATAACTGGCGAACCGCACGAACCCAAATCCTTTCGACTTCCCGCTGTTCTGATCCTTCTTGATCTACAAACAAAAACAATGGCAAAGGTCATTATTCTGCTCGCGGATTCCCGCTAACAAGAGAGACTTTGTAGTGACACTTCATGTTCAGCAACTAAAATCGATAAGCTTTTCTGGTGACAATAGTTACCGCCCTCTACTGCTTGCTTTGGTCTTCATGCTGAACAACTTCGGATAATTCCGGCCTGAAACAAACCAATCAGAATCAGTATGAATACTTTCTACCTAAATTGAAATATTTTTCTGGTCCAGATCAAAGCCAGGGTTTTTAACCAAAATTATGTCAGCTACATACGATACATATCATCAGTATAATATTATCATATCATCAGTATTGTTCATCAGATGCGCAATATATGTAATCATTCATTAGTCAACTGACACGCTTTTTCATCATCTGCACAAAATCATAAAGATAATAGCAAGATTTACATACTTGTAAATTTTAAAAATAAACACGACATAGTTTCAACAAGTTTGTACAAAAAGTGAATGAACTCGAACGACAGAAGAAAACTGACTTTTTTAGGAGACTGTTTTTAAGGAGATTGATATTATTAAGAAATTAGATTGCCATGCAATACAAAAAAGCACGGCAACTAGCCCAAAAAAATAAGGCTTGCAGCATAATACAAAAAGAGCACGGCACCTAGCCAAAAACATATCCAAATGATATTTGGAAAAGAGTCAATGAACGCAAGGAAAACAATATTGACTAATTTCAAAATTTTCAATTTCCGAATTTCAAGAATAATTTATGATTGACTCTTTTTGAGTCAATTAACTTAATTCGAGAAAACTAGATCAAAAGATAAAGTTTTTATTCCACTGGATAACTAAAAATCCATTATTTAAAGTAGGAGTCGATCGCGTTTTTTGTGACCTTGAACACTGAATTTCAAAAACATAGCCAATCGAAGCTTGGACAAGAGTAATGAACGCAAGTACACATAAAAAAAAACATGACTTTGTTGAAAAAATCTCAACTTTTGAGTTTCAAAGAAAAAAAATAGATGCCCTTTAAGCTTTTTGAAATTCTACAACGATTTGTGATTGGCGCTTTTTTGATAACATGAATCCACCTAGAGAAAACTGGATCAATGGGTAAAGTTTTTATTCCGCTGGAAGTCTGAGAATTAAATTCCACTTTCGACACTACAAATCAATCACGTTTTTTCGCACCCTTTCCACGTTCGTATTTGGAGAGTTTTATTTACGTCACTTTCAGCAGATGAATTTCAATTGAACTCAAACTGTGCCTATGTACCTCAGTGCATTCATAAATTCATCAATATGTATGAAAGCACATCTTTCTTATTAGAGACTTTTAAGACTTTTCCTGAAAAAAAAACAAAAAAATCAAGACCTATATAAGAGTCTTCACTACATTTATTACTCTTAAAAATCTAAGAAATTATAATGGGGATTTGAACTGCAATCACTCTGATTGAGTGATCTTTTTCAAAGTAACCAATCCAACCAAAAATATTGCACAGCAAAAATTTAAATATAGCCAACATACAGTTAAAAAAGGAGTCAATGAACGCAAGTAAGCAGAAAAAATAACTGGCTTGTTTTTTTTTTCAATTTTAACTTTCAAATTTCAAAAACTAGATTGGAATTAAAGCCCTTTGAATTTCAAAACAAATTAAGATTGACACTTTTGTGCTAAAATTAACTGAACTTGAAAAAAACTGGATCAATTAGACCTGTCTGGATTTGAACGTAGAATAGTTACCGTCCAAGTCCCAGACCTAGTCCTTACGATCAGGCCACACATAATAAGCATAGCCAACTAACGTTGAAAAAGAAAAATGAACGCAAGGAAACAGAAAAAAAAATTACTTACTTTTTGTAAAAACTTAAAACTTTCGAATTTCAAAAGAAAAAATAACTGCCCCTAAAGCTCTTTAGAATTTGGAAAAAAAACATAGCCAACCGGAGATTGGAAAAGAGTAATGAATGCAAGTAAACATAAAAAAACACTGACTTTCGAAAAAAATCTTGAAAAAATCTCAACTTAAGAATTTCAAAGAACAAGCCAACTGACTGCAAGGAAACTGAAAAAAAAAAAAACGAAATTCAAAAAAAAATGAATTTTTTTTTTTTGAATTTCGAATAAACAATTAGATGGTCTTAAAGCTCTTTGAATTTGTAGGACAATTTAAGCTGGACACTTTTTTGTTAAAATTAACCCAATTTGAGAAAACTGAATAAATAGGTGTAACTTTTATTTCGCTGGGAAATCTGATAATTAGTTTCAATGTTCGAAATTAAAATTCGATCACGTTTTTCGTGACCTTTACAATTTTACTGTTCGATAGTGGAGTTTGCCTTCCTTTTAACAAAGGAATTGAGCTGAACTTCAACAGAAATCAAAAATCAAACCGCGAAAAAGTGAATTTCAGCCTGAACAATTTTTAGGACTTACCCTGAAAAAAAAACAAATCATCGCGACCTATATAAGAGTGTGAACTACGCTCTTAACATATTAAGCAATCAACAAGCAACTCACCATATAATGGAATCTGTTCAGAGGAGCAGCAGCATCATCAACATCCCTTTAGCATCATCCACAGTAAAGATCATTGAAACCGGTGACATATCAACACGACCCACAGTCACCGAGAAACTTCGCGTCGGGTATACATTCATTTTGAACCCAACACAAGGCAAATTCGAACAATTAACATTCAGTGCTTACACACAAAGTGCCAGATTTATTTTAACCAAAACATCAAACATTAGCACCAACAAAAATCAGGCAACTTCAAATTATCGCGACCACTGCTTTAGTGATATTGTTTAAATGACCTTACCAATTTTTTTTGACAGATAACAGAATGAAGACAAACATTCAACACAGTATCATTCAGATGTAAAGCTAATCAAGATAACTTTTTCATAATGATATTTTCTCGAATGCTCTTTTTCCATAACCATATTTTAAAATAGCACACAAAATTCACATGCACAGAACAAACATTCGAGTTACAGAGAAAACACAATTCTATGCCAAATTGATGGCAATATCGTCTTCCTCAAATTAATCTGAACAAAATTCAATGACGCAAAAGTGCTCATTTAACATCTAAAACCGATATATTTTGCAATTCGACCCGTATTAAGTGTCCAAATATTTCCAATTAACCAAAAAAAGAACTACTCTAGGGCCAATTTAAGAACTCAATGTCACTGATATTGCGACCAAATTGCCATAACTATTTTAACCATCATTTCGCCTGGTATATTTTTTCTCACCTCACACAGAACCAACTCGCCATACTCTACAAACTGGTTTCTCAGATCAGTGTCCGAGAAAGTGTACGGAAGATTGAGCACAATCAAATCGGAACAGATGGAGCTCAGAGCTCGTTTGGCTGCATTGGCACGAGTCATTTCTCCTTCTCCGTTGACCTGATTTCCGACGGTCGATAAACCGCGTTTTCTCGAATCAACTTCTGAAATTACATTAAACTTCAAATATCATTTCATCAATATGAAGAATTTTGCAGTTTTTTTGATAAATTTTGTCGATCTTGTTTAGGTCAGCCATTTCGATTTTTTTAATGCCAAAACTTTAAGTCCATGAAAGCGGAACTAAAGGGATGCTGACGCCCCCATTCCTCACAGAAATTGTAAACCTTGCTTACCCAACGGTACTACTTTCTACAGCGCCTTTGGCATCAAAGTACACAAAAATACTCAACCAGACAAAAACAGGAAAAGGTTTATCATTTAAAGGAAACCGAAAATGAAAGTTTTTTTTGAACTTCACCTTTCAATTTTCAATGAAATAATATATGGGCTAAAGCTCTTTCAATTTCAAGAAAAACTTACAACTGACACTTTATTGTTAAAATGATCCATTTGAGAAAACTGGATCACAAATTACAATTTTCATTTAACTAGGAAACCTTAAAATTAAAATAGAGGTTCTAAGCTTAGAAGTCATTCACAACTTTTCAAATCGTTTCTCCTTGGAGATCATAATTTGCCTTCGTTTTAGCTAATGACTTCGATTTGAGTTTGAACATAACACGAGACAGTTGGAAAGAGTCAATGAATGCAAGGAAACAGAAAAAACTAACAAGGAAAATAATTTTAAAAGAAATCAAAAGTGAAACCGCAAAAAGTCAAGTTGAGCCGAAGACTTTTCCTGAAAAAGACAATTTATCACGACCCATATGAAAGTCTTCACTACGTTAATCGATTCCTAAAAGAACTCAAAATGTCAAACGACAAAAAATCAAATTTGTTGTGAACAAAATTTGAAGACTTTTTCTTGAAAAAAAAATAACTCGACCTACACTTGTGGACAAAATTAAGAGCAAGCTCTGGTTTGAACACTCTAAAATGCCTGTTTTCAATACCATTTCGGAAAACATTCCCTTCGAATTTCAGTACAATATTTACATAGACCAAGAGCAAATGATCGAAGCTACCCTATATTAAACTATCAATATTTGGTTTTCAATTGCTTACCTATGTAATCCGGGTCATAAAATACCAGATTTTCTCATCGGCATTGAGTTTTTTTTCAATCCGCGTAAAAAGTAAGAAACAGCCAATCTTAGTAAAAACTTCACACAGATTTTTTCAACTTTCTCGCTGAGAATCTTTCACGTTGCATGAACAATTTTGTTACTCCGCTTATTCGAAAAAGAGTTCACTACAATGCAAAGCTTTAGATGGAGAAATCTGGCATTTTAGGACCCGGATTACATAGGTAAAATATTGAAAACTAAACATTAATAGTTTTATAGAGGGTAGCCCTGATCATTTGCTCATGGTCTATGTAAAAACTGTGCTGAAATTCGAAGCGAATGTAGTCAAAAGAAATTGAAAACTAGCATTGTTAAGGGTAAAAACTTCAGCTTGCGCTTAATTTTTTAACTATTGTATACAATTGTCTTCGGCTACGTTTATTTTAAGTTAAAAACGCAAAAAAAATTTGGTCAACGCCGTCCAAATTTTTGGTCAAGCTTTTTCAATACTTTCTTGAGCACTTGGTTTATGGACTGAAATTTTAGTTTGCTGTGAGCGTTCTTTTCCTCAAAATAAGTTTATATTGCCAATCACAGCGACTGCAAAAACTCTAGGGGTGTCAGGCCAAAAACGGATGCCATCAAATTATGGGTTCTTTTGGACAATTTGGCAAGCAAGCTTGCATAAAAGGAGGCTTCTCTATACTCCTGACACGCTGCTGGGTTTCACAAAAACAATTAAGTCATAGTCAGCCATTTCTGAGAGACAACAATGGACAAAATTAAACGCAAACATACGTTTTTAGTCTCGAAACCGAAATTTTGAGGACAATTTTTGACGATATTTACTTAGAATTTTAACAAGTTTTTACCTAGACGACAGCAAATGATCTGAACTACTCTCTCAGAAAGTCTCACTTTTTGATGTGAAGCATTGACCAGTTTATTCCGGTTCTGAAAATGCCAGTTTTCCCCATTTATAATAGGTTTTCACCATTTGTAATGAGTGTTAAACTAGCATCAAAACAAAGCCTGCAATTATTGAGCAAACATACGTGAAGCCGGAAAAAAATGTTTTCAAAGAAACTTACAACTAGAAAAAACCACCAGTCCAGATCATCTGCTGTGCAAAGTTGTACTTAAAATGAGGCATTATAGAGAGTAGAAACGGTAATTTGCGTTTAACTTTGTCCACAATCGCAACTCTTATCTTTTACCTTCTGAAAGACAGCTGCAAAAAATTCATCAGTTTGTGGTTTTAAAGCGCAGTGCTTCTGAGATCACCGAGTTGTGCAACACAATGTGAGCTCATGTATATAAGTAATCGCTTCGTTAAGCTTATTAAAACAATTCAAGTTCTTTGGGTTAAAAATGTGGGGATATTTATTTTGAAACTAACGTTTTTCTTGTTCTGGTTCCTGTCTGGGGGTCCCGCTCGCGTCGCCAGCTAGCACGTTCACAATATACACGACATCACTGGCCCCCCAGCCATTCTCCAAGTTAGGCGGATACAACACGTTATCAGCCAATTTCACCGCTCGAAACGCTCTAGTGGCCGGATTTCTGAACTTGATTCCAATCGCGTTTGGAAATTGACTCTGTATACTGCTCATGAGCACAGTTCCGTCGTGTTCCAAAGGGATCTCAACCGGGTCGTCGTTCTCTTTAGGCGCTACAAGGATGCAGCTGTCTACATAATTTGCGCTTTGAGCTGAATCGTGAGAGATGAATTCCATTTTCAAATCACAATCTGAAAGTCGAACAAATAATTTCAGAATACCCACTTAATTTTTGAAATGATCACACATTTTTAGCTTAACTTCTGACTTTTAATATATTACTGCACTAAGAACGCCGCAAGTCAAATTCATATCACTTGTCTGTGATCAAATTTTGACTCAGAAAGAGTCAAAATCACATCTAGAAAAACCTCGATTATACAATCACGGGACACAGAAGTTGCTATTCATTTTGTAAGACAGCGAAATGAACAATCATTTCTTCACATTTTTACCGTTTTTTTTCTGTAACTACTTGAGATTCAGGGCTCTTATTTCGACACATGATGGATGATAGAATTTGAAGGAATTTAAGGAAGCCTAAAATAGAAACGGGTTGTTTTTCAGGCATTGTTTGGCCATTCAAACGTAGCTTGACAGATGTGCATAAGGTTCCGAAAAAAAAACCTGCAAACAGCGTAACGAGTTAGAATTTCTGGACTTCTAAGTGTTCGTTGGGAAGCTAAGCATCTTGCTAGGCAGGGGCGGATTTAGGGGGGAGGCGGACGCCCCCCCCCCCCTCAGGGATTCGACCCCCTGCCGACCCAAAGGGTCCCCCCTTTGGTACTTTTTAAGAAATCCATTTTTGGCCCACCGACCCTAAAATTTTTCTAAAGGCGCCTTGGGCGCCAATATATTCTATTTTTGAGGGGGGAGTGCGCGCCAAAAAAACGCGATTTTTTTGTCAAAATTTTCCAAAAAGTGCCCAAAAACGGCATTTTTTACCTGTATTTTCAAAAATTTGCCTGCGGCGCAGACAATTTGGTAAAAACACCGTCTTTTTAGTGCATTAGGAGAGCTCGGAAAGTCAATTTGGTCGACCTAAAAAAAAGGTCGTCAAAATTTTCGAAATTTTTTTGAAAATCCGCCCCTCCCCCTCGAGAAAATCCTAGATCCGCCCCTGTTGCTAGGACCTCGCATAATTTTCGTTGAACAAAAAAAAAACAAAAAAAAAGAAACTCAGAAACTTGTGAAGATTGTAAACAAAATTTTTATTCGTGAACAACTGAGCAGCTCGTCTATTCAGTGAAATGCCAAAACTAGCGCAAATTTTTATATTCATAGCTGAGTAGTTTTATCAAACTTCTCAGACAAAATTATGTAACAGGGCTTCTTCGTAGCCAATCATACCTTTGACGAGCATCGTTTGCATGAACAAACAACGACTTGAAAACAGCAATTTTCTAATTTTGACTCGATTAAATCCCTAATAATATTCGCCACTATCATATGCTAATATTTCAGCAATGAATCTCAAGTAGTTAGAGGAAACGGTAAAAGCAGGAAGCAAATTCACATTAATTTCATCAGTTGAAATCCAAGTGGCAACTTCTATGTCCCGTCATTATAGTAAGATTCAATGAAGATTGAATCTTTTTAAATGCAATAGAGAAAATTTTTTCAAAAAAAAATCTAGAACAATGAGCGTTAAATTCTAATTAAGCTTATTGGCGCATTTTTTGCAACTTGACTTTCAAAATTGTACCAATCTACGCGCACTAATTGAAAGAAATTGATACGCTATTTCCCTCCATTCTAAAAAAATCCGCGATTCTTTCATATATGCGTCTGCTTTTATCTGCACTGCATTGAATCACCTGAAGAAAACATCTTAAACTCCATCCTGAAAATAACACCGTGTTTAGAATAGTCTAAGATGATGAAAATAGAATGATTGTTTCGGATTTTCAAATGTAGATTTGCTAACATAGTCTCGGGCATTCTATCCTTAAAGCAATGAGGAATTCCCGAAAAACTCATCCTATGTGAAAGGACGTTCACATAAATTATTTGACAGGGACGGGTCTACAAGAGGACGTCGGAACTTCCAGCCGAAGGAACTTCCGGCCGAACTTTTTTTAGAAAAGAACACTTATTTGCCAAGCGAATTGTCTCAGATATGCAACTATGTAAGGTTTAAATTAAAACAGGTTCAAAAACATCATAGTGCCACAGATGAATATTCTTTACAAAATAATAGAAAATATCTTAAATTTAAGTTCTTGACGTTTTGTGCATTCAATCTCTAGACGAAGTATAATTTTTGTTACTGATTTGCGTCGATCTAGTAGTTTTAGTAATTGAAAATTAAATAAGCGGATAAAACTGGTGTTTTATTCCAATAAAACACATGTTATATACATGTTTCCGTGCTGCATATACATGTTTCCGTGTCCCGTCCATAGAAAATGGGAAGAAACTTTGAATACAGGTGTGTTTGTTTTTTTTCCACGCCAAATGAGGTATCACAGATAATCATCGAACTGGGTTGAGTGATATATCATATTGAAGCCCTTTCAACTGAGATTCTAACACTATTGAAAAAATTTCAAAAAAAATTCTGTGCCAAAAAAAACCTGTTTAGAATTTTTGAGTTTCCATCTAACTGCGAGCGAGTAAAGCGATCGAGTAACGTTTGTTATGAATGAAAATTACCGATTTAGGCTAAAAATTGATAATTTCTCCGAAAGAAAATATAACTTTGGATGCCAAATATAGCACTTTAAAGGCAAAAAACCTTTCGAATACATATGAAAATTTTCGTGCAATAACTGGAAAAAAATCAAAAAATGAAAAAAAACATCTCATCTTTTTTGGTTATCTATTTTTTGGAAGACAATTGTGGTGATAATTCACTAAATTTCTACGTTTTTATATAGCTATGTTATCATCACACTAAGCACAAAACACACTAAATTGAAATAGCACCATCGTGGAAAATCTAATGGAAATGGCAAGGGACCCGAGATTGCAATATTGAATGATCAATATTGAATATTAGGACAATACCAACTTTGAATTTTAAATATTAGGATACTGAAGGCTAGATATTGATATTTAACCTTCAGTAGATATTGAGAAGATATTGAGGAAATCGGATTTTGCATCATTGCTTGATATGGTGATGGTTATTTGCATCAAACAAATGGTGATAAAAATTTCTGAAATGCTGAAAGAGCCTCTTTCAAAGATGTAGTACATAAACTTCTGCAGAAAACCAAACAATATTTCAGAGAAAACTAACACTGATGATAAATCAAAGAATGCAACGAGGAGTTCCCGAAAAACTCATCCTATGTGAAAGGAAGTGCACATAAATTATTTGACAGGGACGGGTCTACAAGAGGACGTCGAAACTTCGAGCCGAAGGAACTTCCGGCCGAACTTATTTTAAAAAAAGAACACTTATTTGCCAAGCGAACTCTTTCAGATATGCAACTATGTAAGGTTTAAATTAAAACAGGTTCAAAAACATCATAGTGCCACAGATGAATATTCTTTACAAACTAATAGAAAAGATCTTAAATTTAAATTCTTGACGTTTTGTGCATTCAATCTATAGACGAAGCATAATTTTTATTATTGATTTGCGTGGATCTAGTAGATTTAGTAATTCTTAATTAAATAAGCAGATAAAATTGGTGTTTTATTCCAATAAAACACATGTTATAAACATGTTTCCGTGCTGCATTTCAAAAACAAAACGCTAGCATGCATCACAACCGGGTTTATAGATTTTAAGCTAGTATTTGTCACAAGCAAATTATTGGTCCGACCATTTGAAAAATGTGGAAGAATTGGTATTTGGGTAAGTTTCAGTTTTTTTCATTTTTTTTGTCCCTTCCATAGAAAATGAGAAGAAACTCTGAATACAGGTGTGTTTGTTTTTTTTCCACGCCAAATGAGGTATCACAGATAATCATCGAACTGGGTTGAGTGATATATCATATTGAAGCCCTTTCAACCGTGATTCTAACACCATTGAAAAAATTTCAAAAAAAATCTGTGCCAAAAAAAAACCTTTTTAGAATTTTTGAGTTTTCATCTAACTGCGAGCGAGTAAAGCGATCGAGTAACATTTGTTATGAACGAAAATCACCGATTTAGGCTAAAAATTGATAATTTCTCCGAAAGAAAATATAACTTTGGATGCCAAATATAGCAATTTAAAGGCAAAAAACCTTTCGAATACATCTGAAAATTTTCGTGCAATAACCGGGAAAAAAATCAAAAAATGAAAAAAAAAAAACATCTCATCTTTTTTGGTTATCTATTTTTTGGAAGACAATTGTGGTGATAATTCACTGAATTTCTACGCGTTTATATAGCTATGTTATCATCACACTAAGCACAAAACACACTAAATTGAAATAGCACCATCGTGGAAAATCTAATGGAAATGGCAAGGGACCCGAGATTGCAATATTGAATGATCAATATTGAATATTAGGACAATACCAACTTTGAATTTTAAATATTAGGATACTGAAGGCTAGATATTGATATTTAACCTTCAGTAGATATTGATGTAACATTCGCCCAAATACTACACAGTGTAACATTCGCCCGGAAGATACATATCGACGGATAACAAAACTAAGTCTTAAGACGACTGGCTAGCGTCTAAACAGAGCTTTGCATGTTTTTCACCGTCTCTACCAAGCCGGTACTTTTCGGTGGTCTTTCTTACATCGGGTCGACAAAAACGTTACTGCTCTCCGGCTTCGACCAGAACGCTCAAATTAACTGAATTACATGCAAAAATAGTGAGCTCATGGCTGGGTCTCAGTATCCCCAGACCACGAGGTCACTCCTAAAAACAGGGCTACTACTTATTATATTACTATTGTTTTTGTTCAGTAGATAAAAACCATCATCTCCATCGAAGATGGATCAACCCTTTCCCCCCAACTCCTAGCTTCTCATCCTTATCAAAATGAATCCAGTTGTTAATTAAATTCAATTCAGGACATGACAAGAAGCTAAAAGTTTATATAAAAGGCTAAAAGTTCCAGTCCCGAAACCCTTCCGGATTCTTGAATCCAGTGAATCAAGCTCCTTAAGTTCAATTTCACGCCAATCAGGAAGGCTGGTTCTCACCCTTCACCGTTGTTGGCAACGGTCTTGCAACTATTGTAGCAGCACAATAGTTGCAACTTGGAACGTTCTCTGCTATTGTAGTTCGTT